TTAAAGAAATAGAACTGAAATCTTGTTCATCACAGATCCAGTCTACGATTTACTGTTGGTTTAATATTTCTCTAACTAATTAACGTAAATCTTTTTTTTCAAATTTCATGACTTCTATCTTAATTTTTTTTACAGTCTTTAATAAGTGGATTCTCTTAAATTGAGTACAGTTAGGATGGAAAATATGATTGCATAATGCTCATCAATTATTAAAAGACTGGGTTTTGTTTCATTTGTTTGGGTTTAGAGGGCTGGGTAATATTAATAGCCTTCATATAACTAAATTTTGTCCCAAAGCATAATGCACTGTAGTGTCGGTTACTATGTTAAGCTCATATAATTTATTATAACTTCTGAAAAGGCCAATTTATCCATTCTTCTTGAGTCATGTTTTGACCTTGTCAACTATTTACTTATCGACCTTGACTGTTTTTATATGAGCGTATGTATGGGCACTTCCTATCCTATTCATCACATGTTTGTAACTTATTTTTGTGTGACCACATATATTGATTCATGCCTAATTAAATTGAGTCGGTTCACATGCGTTCTCCACTGTGAGTTCCTTTTTTTCGCTTCACCCTCTCTTCTTCACTTCATTCGCTGCGATTCTCTGATTATCTGTTCCGATCAACGACTTAATTAATTCCGTTATTCACTAACGCAAGTTAAGTCGATAATTATACATGATCCAATTGAAGTCAGATCCCGAGCCATTAAAGCACAAACTCGTATTTGTCATATCAGTAATATAAAATATTCTCTCTGACCAAAAAACGCATTATTATAATTTCATTCTGAAGTTAAAATGCTGTTAAATTTTTAAAATTCACAAAGTTTTCAATATAAATCGTATCAGTTCTTCTTTTAATTTAATAATTCATCTATCTAATTTTGTTTTTCTAAACGTTTTTCTGCATGTATTAACTAAAAGTACATTTCAAACAAATATTAAATAACATTAATAATTATTATAAGAAACTATTCAAGTTCATTTGTATGGTCTTTTGTTTTAACACTTAACAAAAGTCAATTTGTATAAGTTATTCCATTCATAACATAAAACAACCAAAATTAATTTGATTGTTTTATTATTATAAATGTTTAACTTACTATTTATCACGAGGGAGAGAAAAATAACTGAAGGACACTAAATGTAACATTTACTCTTAAAAGTTACATGTATATTATCTTGAAACAACAAGTTACTTAGTAACTAACAATAAATTGTTTATTTATAATTATTACCTTTGCATGTTAATTAATTGTTAACAAAAGTTTTAATAATAACAGTTTAGTTTCAAATTTAAAAGTACCTTGAAATATGAACAATATGTTGAATATCTTTTCATAATTCTTATGAAAATTCTATACTCATTTCAATCATTGTTTAGATTAAAGTGTAAAGGCATCTGATTGGTTGATTTATTATATATTATTATACTTATACATCTAATTATTAAGATCCATTTGACAACACGATATTTACATTTGATAGGAAATGTACTGGGACATTATATTCCAGGCATGTAGGCTGATAAATAAACCAGCATTAAAGGAAACATGTTTGTTTGGTGCGATGCGTGGATTGATCAAAAAACTAATCAGTATGTTAAGTATGACTCAGATTAGATAGCTATACATTTAGTATATATATATATATATATATATATATATATATATATATATATATATATATATATATATATATATATATATATATATATATATATTATGAATAGCTTAGTAAGATCCTTACTACAAAACTTAAACATTCTAGACGTGGTCTCATAAGACGTTGTTCATACTCATTGTAGATAGTAGTCGAGTTAGAACGAAAATATTTTAAATACTGTTTCAGCTTCTGAACAATTTTCCAGTTGATTTCATCTTTTTGTGAACATTGGTTTTAATTTATTTATACTCCGAAGTTCAGTGATATTATATACTTTCGTATTTTGATGCGCATGATGGCATTTTAAATCAGTACTTAGTTTCACATACAGAATTTTTATTTGAAAATTTGCGGATTGTTTTTACTGTATGCATTTTTTTCAGTAACGAATTGTTATTGTTGAGCGATAATAATTAATGCTGGTGCAAATGCTGGTTTCTGGCAGCCGCATCACCTGTAGGATAAACGTTATTTTGGCAAAACGCCACTTCAATGACTACTGATACAAATTACCTAGTTAATTGATGGACACTTTTAAGGAGATCAAAAAACGACTGAACATCAGTCTGTAGCGCACTGTTTTTTAATGCTTTTAGTGAAAAGTTATGAAGAAAAATCTTTGAATTCAATTAGTCTCAACGGAATTCTCGACTTAATAAATTATGATGTGTTACCACTACCTTGAAAGATCTATTTCTGCATATAAGTTGACTGGTAATCAGTTTGAGCTTTATAGAGTTTATTAGTATAACATTCGAATTTAATACTATGAAAATGAAATGGAGGGCTGAAGTGGCTATTTGAAAATTCTAGGTTTGCGTGTCGTTTCTAAATAAGGGGTAAATATCGATGCAAATGCCATTGGTGATAAATTGTTGTTTTAATTTTTTATGCAATTTGCTTCTAGGTTGATTGACTTATCATTCAATCTCAAATGTAGTTTACATCACCTGAATTTAGTAAGGCAACTACTGACATCCAAGACAAATTAGTCAGGGATTTCACTATATCTTAAGACCTCCTAACAGTTATATCCGAGTTCAAGACTATAGTTTATCATAGAAATTTCAGACGCCGTAGTAAGCACTCAATGTCCTAGCTTCATTTGGTTCACGATACTGCGCAATCATTATATATTGCCACTGGAAATATATATCTTATATCTGATGTGGTTCGACGCTTATGGAAGCATTGTTTATTGGGTCAGGTGGACCATAAGTTCTAGAATCAACAGGTTTTTGTGTAGTGAAAGGACAACACGTATATCAAGTACCTTATATATCACTGTCACTTCAGCGAACTTTCAAGTACTTTGACAATGGAATGTCTGAACATTTATTACCCCCTAACGTGAATTTTTATCTAAATTATTTCACCTATGCAACCCGTTAGTGGTGATGTCCGAAGAGCAAGAGTTGAGATCATGAAAGAAGTTTTCAAGTTACTGCAGATAGAACTACTGCAAATATGAGATCTATTATCACTATTTTACCATGAAATGAAAAGCACTCTCATAATGACGTTGCGATTTACAATACTTTATGATCTAGTCTCGCTCTTGGGGCTTAAACAGGTGTTGTACCTAGGTTTTCTAGTGGAAGTTTTCAGTGATCTCATTTAAGTGAGTGAAGTTATCAATATTAATACATTTCTTCAATAACGTCATCTCCGTTCTATACGGTTATAGAGGTGACCTGAATACCACGAAAGGGTTGTCCACGTTGAGTCATAACTGTCAGGTTTGACCTCGTCATAAGCTAGATCACACGATTCTCGTTCAACTTCATCAAAGTATATCTATCCGCAAAAATTGATAACACTAGTGATCTGCAATTTACAGTCTTGAATGACTAACAGATAGCAAATACGGTCCACAAGCTTTAGTCAGTGGCCTTCTTATACTTAACTGTAGTTCTAAATTCATTAATAATTGTAATTCAGGAGACTATGTGAATAATTATTTTGAGTAATGCTATTGCATCTGTCACATTGCTCCGTAAATCGTAGAAATCAGCTATTCTAACTACTGCACTCTTGATAGAATTTATGCCGAATGACCAACAACCCGTCTCTCCCGCCAGTTAACTTAAATCTTGCCTTATACTATCTTATTAGAAACGTATTATGTGCTTCTCAATTTTTTGATATCTTCACAGGGAAACAGTAAGACACATGACTGAGAAACACTTGATATTTTACTTACGTAAAGTAAAATGGGAAGATTTCTAGGATTTTTTTTCTTCAGTAAGTTCATTTTCCCACATTTTCGTGTTGTTTAGGCACTGTTCTATCCTTTTCTGTAACCTATAAGTGAGAAAGTCAAATGTTCAATCACCAACTACTTAACTGATTCGACAACATTCCGATTTCAATCCGAGACCTGAGAAAAAGACTTTGTCGAAGCTTCTATTTAGATCTACCAAGATTACGTTTACTAGGATATTCATGTACTTTGAAGTGACTGAGTCTCTTCTAATGAAGAGTTTGTTCAAGCATGAAAGTCTTCTAAAGGTATATTTTCCCATTCATGTGAGTGAGAATAGCATTTTGTAAGGGCAAATAGATCCAAAATATCACTAGTTCTTTAGTTCTTGCTTACTGGAATCAATCTCACTAGTTTTATGGGACATGCTGAAATTTCTTGGCCAAGCATTCGCCTGACGATGTACGCATCTTTCTCAACAACCAGTCAGCTTAGGTCACATAGCTCTCTAGGAGTCGATTGTCTTCCAAACTCCGTGATCTGTTGACCAGGCATCTTCAGCTGGATGTATCTATTAAACTAGTGAGGTTAGCATCAAATGTCGAAACTTTACAGAACTATTTACCTTCTTCGGCTTCATTCGCCAAAACGTGCCTTTTTGGAATGTGTCTACATCTTTTCATCTTTATCAGTAAAAAGAGCCTTGCTCAAGCTACGGTTTTATTGAGACCATTATTTGTCAGTCACAGTGGATTTCCCTAAAATAGAAAATATGTTATTCCATTACCAATATTCTTCTATGTACATGAGAGTACAACTTCTTTGGATTTTTCTAAGAATATCGTAAGTTGACCTATCTCCATCTTTCAACGCTTTGTTCGCCTTCCTAACCTTACAGCTAGTGTGCTCGGATATTTCAGAGCTTATAGAGACGAACTAACCATAGTATCTGTCCCTAAGTTAAAAGTTTCTTAGTCACGTTTGTCATTCATGTTGGACAAATTTCTTGCTTCTCTGCTCTTTATGAAACTATCTATCTCCAATCTCATCGATTAAATGCTCGTAAAACGACATCTAGCACGCTGGAGGCTAGATTATTTTTTTCTCAACAGAGAGTGTATTGAGGTTCTAAACGCGCTTTTTCGTATACTGCGTTACAATGCATTCGGTGTTCGCCTCACAAGTCGTATTCTGTAAGTATTTCAAATATTGCGAGTGTTATTCTGTCTTTGTCTTTATTTATTTCAAACGTCACTTGTGGTACACTCTCTCCACTGTTTTGAAACACAAGTTACTACAGCCCTAAGCGATCGCGAAGTTTTTCTGTGACTCAAATCATAACCTACGGCGAATTAATGAGTGACCTTTAGGTTAAAAAAACAAAATTAACTCACAGAATTTCAGTTTTCGTTTAGGATCTACAAAGTACAAGAAAGTGACGGTCACAGACGATCAGATATCTGATCGTTCATAATAAATCCTTCAAATTCCAACAACTATGAAGTTCCGAAACCCTGTGTAATAAATTTGTTTTATCAAAGTCATACGCATATGGCAGTTATTCCTACTTGAAAATCAGAGGCCTTAGACCATTAATTTATGTCGTCAATACCATGCCTTCTATTTTTAACGATCTTAGTGTCGTTTGTGTTTTTTATGTGTGTCAGGTTCGGAATGTTTATTTCATGAATGCCCAATTATAATTGGGCATTCATATTCTCTTCACACTGCACAAATCAACGAGATATGTTAGTCCTTATCCTTATTCAGATGTAGGTGATTTCACGTTAAAGTGGTCAAGGGCTCAGAGTGAGTGGTACATGACCTTAGTAGACGTGGGTTTTTCATTTTCAATCGCTAATTATCCTACCTACAGATAACTGAAGGTAGAAGGCCATCAGCTTTTATTAACTGACTAGGAGCTCGTAGTTAAGTATACTTTTCTGTGATTGAATTATCCCTAGGAAATACAATATCAATATGATTGGTCAAGGTTCGGAACTGGTTACGCTGAACTGTTTTTCACCTTACGTAATACTGGGACTTTTTTCGTCCCATTACTCATATTAAACTATATGGTCATCCCTCTTAACATATTCTGGGCCAGTGGTTTACTTTTTTAAAATCCCGTTCTAACCTAAGAGATTCGGCTGATTGTGTGAATTGTTTGTCTGTACATCAGTTATCGGGCACTGTCTTCGGACCTTGATGCACTTAGAATTTAGAAACTGTTTAATGTCATTACTTCCCATTGTCACTCAAGCTAAGTACAGAAACTCGAACCTAGTCGTTGAGTTATATGATGAAATCTTCAATTTAGTTTTCTTAGTCATTGTCGAACTCACAACAGTAAAGCTATCCTGTCGAAACTATCGTTTGTCTCTAACCGTATTTATATAGTCTCTTACATTGTTTAGAAAATCCTTATCTAATATCTGGAACATTCAGTGATATCGCTAGATCCTTAATAACTACTATCTGACATTTCAGGAAAAAGTTACTAAGTGCATTAATCAGTCCCTTATTTCGTCGTTGGAATGGAGGTGCGTTGTGTTAGCTCACATATCCTTCATTATTAGAAAGAAAGAATAAAAAGTGTAATCGAATTCTTCTCTACTCCATTGGATGAAGAAGAGCTAATCGATGGAGAAAGTAAACCCGATGAACTGTACACCCTCTGTGATGATCCCATGCAAGTACCCATCAAACTCATCGACGAACAACTAAGGTTCGTTAATCTTGCAACAGTTCAAGACCTTTTTGTTGACAATTCAGGATTTCTTGTTGTTGGCGCCATTGGTTTACAGGTAACCAGAGATATTTTGATTTTCTCTCGTGAATTTAGGGTTCAGGTAAATCGTCTGTGTTAAATATTTTGGCGAATTGCATTTCTGACGGTTGTGGAGTTTTTGATGGTCCTTTTAATATTCAAACTCTCAAGGATGTAGTAACTAACAGCCCGTGTACTGCTGGTATTAACTTATATATTACACAAGATCGTGTAATTCTTCTGGATGCCCAAGTAACTTTTCTGTTTAAGTTGAATGTATAGGCTGTGATCTGTATTTGTGTTTTCATTATATGTATAAATCTTGGTGTTTGATTTAATCGCTTTTCTTTATTGCATTTTTAAATTGCTGTTTAGTGACTTACTAATCAAAATATGACGCTAGTACGAAAGTAGTGGTCGTTTTCTGTCAAACTAAATATCTCAAATATTTGTTAATGCACGGTTTTTGTACTAAATTGCGCTACTCATATTTCCTCTTGGACACCCATATATTTTCAGTAATTAATGCATTTGCTACTGTAAAGCTGGGAGTGATTATTTATCTGATTTATTCAATGCACAATTATTGGCACATGTGGGTACCAAAAAACAAGTGTGCAGCACACTGATAAGAGAATCAAACCATGAAATAATGTATTCTCCTCCTTCCTATGGTAATAAGATAAAATATCAAACTTTTATGATAGATATGTTATAATCTACTCATTATAACTTAGAGATTGTTATTCTTAACTGTATTTCTTTTATAATGTTCTTTTTTGTTAGCCTCTTCTTTCATTTGCACTCACCAACTATCACACTCATTTGGTTGCTACTGGTAATATAACATCTTCGTCCTCGAGTACTCATCCAGGGCTTTCGTCTCTTACAGGTCCTGGTAATTGGAACATGGATATTTGGGCTGAAATGGCTTCTATGCAGGTCAGTTAAATTTATATAAATCAACTTAAATATAACTATTGACTCGTAAAACAATTTACTTATCGAAAAGGGTTCCTTTTCTAATTAAGTTGGTCTATCTTGGGTGCTGTTAGAGGTATGAGGGCGGTTATCACTTCCCGGTTGCCCACACCGAGGAAGGGTTGTTCTGGAGGTACCTGAAAGGGAAATTGGATTAGAGGCGGTCTCAGTGACCTGAGAGCGTGACCGCAGTGCCCAAGGGACAACTGCTTGAGGTCGGTCGCGCACGGCCTTTTCGTGGGAGGTTTTTGACGTGTTAGCTCCGTTCTTCAAAAGGGCCTTACCGCCGGAGACGGAAATCCGTGAGGTAAGGTGAGGTGTGCATTTTTAGGGTCGACCTTTTCTACCTCCCCTTGTGGGAAGGCAGCATCGCTGTCATGCTGGTTGTCTTAAGGAAACACCTTACTGCTGTCACACCTCTGTACAGTCAGCAGTACGACTTCGCCCTCAGACCTTGAGTTGCTGCTTTTAGTCTTACTGTTCACCATTCGACCACCACGTCAAGGTAGCAACAACGGTCGGGAAGTTGGTCTATGCAAATGTACGATAATTTGAGGTGGAAAAGATCTGTAGCTCAGGTGGATGGTTTTGATGGAGTTTTGTTCTCTGAGCTGGATAGTTTGGTCGTTGAGCTCTCATCGTTATTTCTGGACGACATCAGCGCAAACTTCAGGTAGGTGTGAAGTGTTCGAATTTCTCCACATATGACTCACAGCTTGTCCTGTAGACCTCAAGACCGAGCTCCACGACCAAACCATCCAGCTCAGAGAACAAAACTCCACCAAAAATTTTAGCGGCTATCTGTATATATTTGTTCTTTTGTGCATTTCATTTTCATAGAACGGTTGTCATTTCAAAATTTTTGTTCGTTAGCAAATTAGCGTCCCCATAGAATACTTAAAAGTAGAGAATATTTGAGCAAACAGTCGTTTTAAATAAACTTCTCTTGAATCCCTTCACTTATAAATCCGTAAATTTTATTCTACACTATATGGTCTGTCTTGGCATACATATGAAAACTATGGTTAATTTGTTCTATCTTAAAAGTTGAAAGTAGTATATTTCGCATCAGTTGTGTCTAAATTGCAAAACGGCAATATGAAATAAAATAGATATCATGTCCTAGATATTTTGATGATATTATTGATAGTAATCATGGTAATAATAAGAATGTTATGTAAATTAAGGAATGTGCAGCTAAGAATATGTCACTGAAGGGGATTGGTAAAAACGTATATGAAGGGAGCAGTGGGCAAACGTTTATTGTACATGCTGATAATGTCAATCGGATTGTGTATGGGATGAGCCTATTTCGGGTATGACTTATGAGGCTAGATACACAGGAGCAATCAAAGTGTCATTCACAAGCTGTTTTACCCATCATTCATAACTTATCTTTGATTTACTGCATCATCATAGGGTTGGTTGACGTAACATGTTATTCACTGGCATTAGACTTCATTTTAATAGATCTATCCAGTTGATGTGTTTTATTTATTTATTTATTTTAACACATAGATATTGGTACAATGAGGCACCAAGTAGATATGCGCCACATAAATCATTCGATTTGTGTGAGGGCTGTGATACTGCTCGGGTGCTCAAACCGAAACAGGTGGTTTTCTTAGGGGGCCACACCCCGAGCCTTTGATCTAAAAGTCTGACCGACGAGGCAGTGGAGCATCGTGAGGAGATGCAGTCCCATGGTAGCCGGTGACCAACGATCGGTTCATACGCCATTTGTTCCTTCAGGATACTGGAGCCCATGTGCACCATTGGTTTGTGATCCGGTTAAAGCGCCGGACATTCGCTTTTCGTCCTCTCAAATTCGTAAACAACACCCCCGCCATGAGAAGGCAGTGAGTAGGACTTCCCTGGCAGAGACTGTATACGCGTGGCCGTGTGAGAGCATTTCGAGAGGGAGGGCCGACTGCCTCGACGTGCTATGTTCCGTGTTATAGGAGTAGGTTGGAAGAAAGCTAGGGGCGGCCAAACCAAAACATGGCACAAGTCCATGAAATCACTGACAAGTGGACTGAGTCATGTTGGTAGGTGTAGACTACCTGGTTGGGGACCGCGAGATGATAGCAACCGATGGTTAGAGACCCTGAATGACATGGCTCAAAATCGTTTGCAATGGCGCAGGTTCATCCACTTTTTGTGTTCTCCCAAATTCTAATCTTCTGAATTCTTCATGTCCCTTTTTTCCTCTTTCCAAATTTATTTCACTGGATTATACTCTTTAAATAACATCTCCAAACCCTAATCTTCCCGATTACTGCTTATACTCTTATTACATCTACCACTACGGGATTTGAATCGACAAGTGCATCTCTGTGCTAATGTGGTGTGGCAACTCGAACTGATGTACGTACGTACGAAGTTCTACGTTGTTACTGACTGACTGAGAGGGAGGGCGGGCCCACCTCACTCCCGGCCATACCAGGGCATTTGGGGGCAGTTAGAATGTCATTAATCTAATTTCTTTTCTAAATATATTCCTTTGTACGGAAATACCCGGTCTTTCGTAGAGGAGTAAAGTGGACAATACCATGCTGTTATCATGCTTCTCTTTATATTTGAAACTAATTGGTGGATATGCATTACTATAGGTGTGTAAAAGTTTCCGTTGATTGACTGTTTAGTTAAACACAAGCAGTGTGTCATATAACCAACGATAATAATATTTAAATGCATTTAATTTTCAGTATAAATGCCCGTTTTTCATTTCCGCCAATAAAACTGCGAGCACTTTACGACTAAAAAAACCGTTATTACATCAGAGGACTGTCTCGAAGTTCGTATCTAAAACGCAGTCGGCCTAAAAAGTGGGAGTTTCTTATTTGTCATCTAAGATTTTATAGACCTGAGGATATAATATATGCTCTTAGACATGATACATCATTTAACGAATTAGGTATATTTCTGTTATTGTTTTATGGCTCCAGTTTTTTTTCGCAGTTTTCCACCTCTTTTTCAATTTGTTTGCGTCCTCTTTGCATGTCACGCTTTGATAATATTTCTCTTTGTAATGAATTTCATGTTTATCCACTAATTTGCTGAGTCAGCAAAAATATCTTGTGAATAGTTACCTGATTTATACATGTGTCAGCATAATTTTGCCATTTAAGACTAACAAAACTTACTATTTAGTCCATGTCTTTTTTACTTTTTCTATATTAAATACTATCTGTATCAATGGGTACTTCTGAAGCGGTTCAACTGAGTAAATAAATCAATAGATAACTTCTAACATTTACAAAAGATGACTTATCTTAAAATCTTTATCATTTGAAATGGGAATTGGTTTACTAGTTATATATCAATCTTTTCAAACTATTATTTAGTTTCTCATTGATGTGTTCAGTATACATGAACAAATCTATGAACCGTCTTATGATACGGTTACTATAATTATTAGCTCAATTCAGCTTGATAGAAATATTATTTAACAATAATGTTAGTTTCGCCATATGATCATTAATTTAATGAGTGTTTCTTATGACAATATGTGTTATACTCGCCTTTATGAAATTTATTCGGTGTATCAACATATTTGTGTATACATTATGTACATGAAACATGTTTCCGCTATATGATTAATTCGTAGTCTTTAACTATCTTATGAGTAAATCAATACGCTACCAAGTCTAAATGACATAATAATTTTTTTGTTTGATGTATTTTTGTTTTAAATTTTAGATTGTCGCCTTTTTAATAAATGTATGCCATGTTGTACTTGTTGTCAGTGATAATTTAACTACTGCTTCAACTCAGTTACACCGGCTTATCGATAGAGCAATAGGTCTTAAACCAACTGTTTTTACACCGAATGCCATGCCAATCCATGCACTACGTGGTCGTCAACATTCTGATATACATAACAAGTCATCAGATAATAATAAGAATTGTACAGATATAAAAAAATTGACAACTAGTGTACAAGGTTTACAAATTTCTAATGTAAATAAAACTAATCCATCTATTATCAACAAAGATAATAAAAGTTTAGAAGTTGAAGATGTTGACATTTTATCTTTGTCTGAACAACAACAATTTATTGGGAATTATTCTACATCAAATAACATTCTTGGACAATATCTTCATTCTACTGAAGCTGAGTCTAAAGACGTTACAAATGCAATCAATCGACTAATAAGTAAGTTAATGTGTATACATATTTTGTAATTTATTCTTCTTTTCGCAATAATAAACTAGGTATTTAAATAAATATTAGTTATTACTGATGTTGACGATTTGATAATTTATTTGTGAAAGTGATTCTCATATCCTGATATAACAAACTTTATAAGTTGAAATCTCTAATTAATTCTAACTAAGAATATATAAATATAGTGGAAATTTAAAACTATTATTTATATTTTGATAAATATTCAGCCAAAAAAAGAGAATATTTTGTTTTTGTATGTCAACCATACATGTTTAAATCCAGTAATAATTATAATAAAGGACTTTTATTCAATTTTAATAGCTGCTTTTGTTTTTAAAAAAATATAAATCTATAACTAATCTTACTTAGATCTATTCTGACATCATTATATGATACCATTAGATTTTGTTCACCTATTTAAAATTGTTGAATGTTGTATTATATACATTCCTGTTTTAAATAACATAATATATTACAATGGTTTAAGACATTGTGTTGTTGGGGTCCTAGAGATAGTGCAAAACAGTGGCTAGAGGCGTTATCAGATATGGCTCAGAATAGAAGGCAGTGGCAATACTGGTGTAACTTTGTTTTACTTTATTAAAAAAAGGGCGTAACTTCTTTAATTGGAAGGATTCTCTGACGCTGTAATTTTGCGAATTGAACTGTCTCTACCATTATTATTATTTCACTATCATACAGTCATTTCTGTTCATTGTTGTACTTCTTTTTCCTTACATGCACCTTACTTTCTTTATCTCTTCACATTCTCATTATTATTGTGTGGCATATATGTATTTGATGCCACTTTGTACCAATATTTATGTGTTGTCTGAAAACTGAATGATTTTATTTGTTTATAGAAATTTAATTTTAGAGAGAAATCTTAAAGAAAACATTCCTGAAAATGTTAACAACTTACATTAAGTTCAATTTTTCAACTTCAATTTATATTTGTTATATATGTTATAAACTGAAACTTTCCTTCTATTAAGTTTATGCAGGTAAATTATTCTTTATGAATGAAGTTAATAAAGCTAAGACAGTCTCTTAGAATTATCACAGTTGTAGGCAATGAAATTTTGATTACCTTAATCGAAAAATTTTATCATTCATAAAAATCAGTTTGGTTTCAAAGATGTTTGCTCGATTTTAATTCTATCAATCATATAAGATCTATCATGATCTTTCATTCACATCAACTCATTTGCAGCTATATTAATCTACTTCTCCTTGATGTATTTCTTTTTATTGAACAGATTTAACTGATTATTCAGCCTCATTAATTCATGTATATAATCAGGCCCCAGCAGCTGCATTTCTTGACCCGGTTGTGTGTGAAAAATTAGATAGGTATAGGAATAAAATACTACCACTTATGTACCCAGAGTACAGAAGGTTAGTATCACTTGTTACTGTTGGTCCAAGAATTTTATCCGCTCACCTTCAGTCACGAAATCGTGATCAACCTACAACTGCACGTCAAAACTCTGCACAAAATGATACTCCTACTGAAATAAATCGAAACACTACTGACGTAAAGCTAGCTAAAAACAGTTCAGAAAATCGTTTAGTCCCTGACAATTTTACCGCGCAAAATTACCCAGGTTTTCTTGATACTCAGGAAAATTCTGTCTTACCTACTCCATCAGGACTTTCCGAACCGTCCTCAGTTTCATCAGACAAAGGACTTGCATCATCTCAAAAGCCTTCGAATATCAGCGCAGAAACGTTGACTTCAGTAGAAGTTGATAATGAGTCAAAACCTAGTAAGTTTATACTTAATGTTCTTTCTGATTAATAGCTTTCGGTCGTTTTTTTATTAAACTACACATGTTTCTAGTTTTCTTGCAACCTAAACTTACTGTAGGAGTTTAGTGCAGTTACTTGTCATGGGAATTATAGACGTGATAAAACTTAGATCGAAGGAGTTCATCGAGGGACATCATCTTCTAACATTCCTTCACTACCCTGTGGTTCGGACCTCCAGGTCAAAGACTCGTGGGATGGTCTCCTTAGAAAATTCACCTGCCTCGGTTCGGGTAACCGTGTAGTATCCCGACCGTCAAGAAATTGTGTAATGCATATGCATTTTAGTGCCTCTTTGTGCCAATGTTTATGTGTTTAAATAATAATCTTATATTGTGTCTGATAGTCCCTAGGTAAATATTTTTATCTAATACACTCGATGTTGATATCTGTATTTTTTATAGAACAGTAGTTTAGGGGCTGAAACATCTAGCTTTGAACAAGTAGATTACAGGTTCACTTTGGGTAATCGACTATTATCTCTAACTTCTACACAAGCAGTGTGATTTAAAGTTGTATACTTGAACCTGTGTTTGTTGAACGAGTTAAATTAGACTTTTCATACAGTGGTTAATAACCATATTTACTTCAAAACAAAGGTGTGATTGTACTCATTTCAAGGAACCAGCACGAACTATTTAATCTAACATTCATTCATGTGGTGAAGAATATTGTAGAACAAAACAATCGGTAACAGGATTAATTTTAGATAGAAATTACAAAGGGTTTATATTTTATGTATACATAGCCTTCGATCATTCATTTGCATCTTGTGGTGTGTTCTGCGGTCTAAACCGTTTTCTCGTCTGATCATTAAGTGTTATTCCTACGTCATGCTTTTGATGTATTGGAACTCTTCTCTCAGTCTGACGATTGTGATAACTTTGACTCCACGTCCCGCTAAACATTAATTACATGTAATCTTGAGTGTAGCGTCCACCACATACGATTTTTCAGAGGAATCTTACACTAGTTCTTAAAAAATGTTTCATTACGATGTGACTGTCTTTTCAAAACTTACCATCAGTATTTAAACTAGGATAACTGTTCAATACAGTCGAACTTCTTATAGCGTTCGATTGATATTGGTCAACATATTAAACTTTCCCAGAAATCTATGTTCTAATTAGTACACATGGAACTAATTCACACAATTTTTTCAAGGCTATAATAAAATGTAATGATGAGACAAAGTGACCATTAGGGAACAGCGTTGGTAGCTATGGTTTTAAAAAAAAATGTATCCAAACCATCTCAAGAATATTAACTTTAAGAATGACAACTTACACTTTCAATATTTATTCACCATAGAGAAATAGTCAACTTGGAAGTTATTGTCCTACTAATATTGTCTTTAATATCAAAACAAATTAGTAACACTAGTTCAACATCAATCAAATTAATAGTAAATCCAGGTTACACAGAATTTTTAATATGGTTTTTCATTCCAAAGTAGATAGGTGGATTATGGTGGTTTGGTGTTCATGTTTAAACCACCAGTCTGTAGGTTGGAATCCCGCTCCGCCCATTTTGAATTGATCAACCGAGTAGTTGTATTGCAAGTTCTAATATCGAGTTTATTTTAAAGTCGAATATACGAGTCGGTACTCAGTAAATAAGATACATTCATAGTAAGTTCACTACCAAATATAGTACGAAAAACTTCTGTACTTTCTAATTTGTTCATGTTCTTGAAATATAGTCTGATTTGTTGAGAGGCGTTGGTAGTAATATAACTTTGTCCGTTTAAAACTAGCAGGGAATGTTATTTAATAGGGAAAATGTCTGTAGTTTCATCTTCGTCTAGAAACACCATTTTTGACAACTTCATTTTCAAATAGTATTAGTCATAGGTTCATTAATTCATTTCACAACTAAAGCATAATTATTTTTACCAAAGATTTAAGTTTTTACTTATAATGTATGACAGATACTGACACCTATGCTGCTGCGTGGTAACATGTTCATCGTTTTTCACTAAAAACGCTTCATTTCAATTGGAAAAAAACAAGTACGATTTATGTTTATTATTATTTTACATTATTTTCAAGATCCAACCCACTGTTTAACTTCATTAAATACAATTCAAGAAAAATCAAAACCTTTTTCTGGTGAAAAACCTGATGGGTTAGTTTATCTCAGATTAATTTATATAATCTTAATCATTTGGGCTTTTTCCCTTATATGCTGAATAAAAACATTTTTGCTAGTTGCTTAGTATTCGCTTTGTTTTGTCTAACATTAACAGTATAAAAATAATTCCCACCGTATAGAAGAGATCTTTATTGACATTTTATGACTGATAACATACTACAGTCATGTAATTGATAGATTATGTACTAGACTATGTAACTTTTACTACATAGTTTTTTCTTCCTAGTCGTCAATTAATGGTTGTTCATCGAGTTACTATTATAAGATATCATAAGATCCTTTTTGTTTGAAAATCAACCTTATCCTCACCAAATAAACAAAGAGGATAATTCAAAATAATAGTGGTATGTTCTAGAATTGTATCGAACTTTAATATCGTCTGTTTTTTTTAGATTCTGACCATAAATGCCATTGATTCGTTTTCCTTTTTTAATATGCTATTTTGTGATGTTTCCCTAAAGACATTTTTATGCTGTATATAGACACTTGAGTTGTGTGCTTGTTGCCGTTCCTGCTTCTGGGTGCTTGTGGAGTATATTTTTCTGTTATCTGAACTGAATCTTCTCCCTCTAGTTAGCAGGACTGAGAGAGTAAGCTCTCATCGAATCGCTCTCACATAGCCCCGTGCATACAACCCCTGCCAGGGAAGTTCTGCTCACTGTTTTATCGTAGTAGGGTTGTTGTTTACGAAATCGAGGGGACAGAAAGCGAATGTGGGCTCCAGAATCCTAAGGAAACAAATGGAGTATCAGCCTGTTGTTGGATGTAGCTCATGAAGAAAACCATCTGCTTTGGGTTGGGCACCTGGGCAGTATCCCAGCCCTCACACAAATCGAATGGTTTATGTGGCGCATATCTATTTAGTTCCTCCTTGTACCAATGTTTATGTGTTTAAATAAATAAACCTTTTAAACTAATTATCTTGTGTGCAGCTGAAGAGCAAGCAAATATGTACAATGTATTAAATGTATTTCGCAAATGTCGCTTTTGCTTTTTTTAAATTTTTTCCGCATTTCACGATTTTGTAGGTACATTCCCTTGGATAACAGTAACAATAATAGTAATAATTGTGTTAAAAAATTTGGCTTATCGGAATCAGAGATAGTATCGCAGTGTTGCAATGTTTTGCATAATGTAGAAGATGAACTCAATTCTGTTTTAAAACACACTAACTTATCCGCTGGTGTAGACCATCACAAGAAGATTGTAGAGAAACGATCAGGAATATTACCCGTCGAAGGTCAGCTCCCTGATAATGATTTACTACATATACCTGGTATTAATGGTGAGAAGTTGAATGCCAGTCTTGTTCAAATGTATCATGATGTACAGACTACTAGATGTAACTTTTTCGATGTTCAAAAGCGATTAGATCAACCAAGGTTATTCTTGATACCAGAAGTTGACGATGAAGGTTAGTAGTTATGTTAATGTACTAAAAAAATTCATTGTCGAAATGGAAACATGTGCGGTGTAATATATATATATATATATATATATATATATATATATGCTATGGGTTTACAAATCCAGACCCGGTTTTACCTTATTCCAATCAAACATTGACGTATGGTTTTAAGCAATCAATTTTAGACGGCTGAATGTCATTTCGAATGCTTCAGTTTGAGCAGCTAGGTAGTATCAGTAGCCGTCATACAAATGGAACTTTAGTTTGCATCCTATGTTTTCTTATACTCATCCTTATGGCATTAGTTCTTAAGCTTTAGGTTATCTATAAAGGTTTGCATTATATGATTAAAGAAAATCAATAAAAAGCATTCATCACTGTTAAGGAAGATTTTTTATAAGTTTTCTCTAGTTCAAAATGTCAGTTAACTGAGTGTTAAATGTTTTGCTTAGTTTAATAAATAACCCACGTGATTAGACTCCATCCTAAGTGCTCCCGCTGTGTTTTTTTTGCATTCAGCTTATCTAGATTGTTTCTTAAGAGTTTAGATCGAAATCTTCTGAGTTACTATGACAAATTTCGTTGATATTGCATGTCAGATTTCTTCTGTTTCCGGTGTAGTGTATTCGAAATTTTCCAACTAACTAGAAACGCATTTGATAAGCACTCTTATTTTCACGATCATCATAATACGGGTGGTATGTCAAGCAAGCTGTGATTGATTAGCGAACGACGATGGACATCTAGATATGCTAACTGTATGGGACATTATAAATATTGAAATATATTTCTTACTATTAGTCCTAGTGTGTGTAGACTCCTTGTATATGTCCTAACAAAACTGGCCTATAATCTGGTTCTTAATTGTTGGCTAGAGTTTCTTATCTACGTGTCACCTAATCTAGTTTTCCCAGTCTGTTATTCAATCTCGTGTCATTGTGTCGTTGTATTCCGTATAGGAGTACAAGTTTATTTTGCCGTCACATCAACATATTAACTAGGAGGTGTATCGCTAATGTATCTAAAAGTCTATTAAGCATATTCTAATATTGAGTATTATGATTTTCAATAGTTGAGATCATGAGTCAATTGAAACTAGACCACCATGGAAAACCTGGAAGCACTGGATGGCCGTTTTGTCCTATTGTGGGACTCCTCAGCGATGTGCATCCACGACCCCGCCTTGCGGGATCCGGACCCAGGACCTGCTGGTCTCGCGCTCAAGCATTTAACCAACAGACCACTGAGCCGGTACTCAACGGTGTCAATGTCTAACTTCAACTAATCCACGAAGTTGAGCGACATATCCACCATTGTCATTAGTAAGTTACTATTTCACAACTGACCCGGTTAAACTCCACTGGTCACTGCTTCTCACTGGAACTCCAGGATATACATCTTGAAGCCAGTCACTAGTGAACATATGTTGATTATTATCAGTAGGAGGTTTTGTATTATGCACTAAAAGTGAGTAGTGAGATAACTGGGTTACAAATATGTATCCCTATTCTGCGAAATTGTTGCACCTTCTTATAGATTTTCAAGTTCTTATTCAAATTAAATATCATAAATAATTTGTCTACTACTCAAACGCTTGGTGCTAATATCCTATCCTCTTTCTAGGTTCCTCAGATACTCCTAGACTTGAATCCCTTAGGATATAGAAAAGGGGAGAAGTCAGAATAGAAACTTTACTTCTAGATTAATTTATGTATAGAGAACAAATTTATTTGTAGGTTTACGGGTAGCGTTGATCTATTAGGAACTTCTGGTAATACATTAAAATTATTAGCGAAACGGGTAATTATGCAATCAAATTTTGACATATCCTTAGTTTTTCCGCAAAGTTGATTGGGCGAAATAATTTTAGTCCTTTTCCCGCTTCTGGGGACATGCTCAGTGGATTTTGGGCGACTCTTAGCAGTTTATGGAAAATTTTAATAATAAACAAAGTTTATTTGGTTTTTGTACATACAAGTCTTTTGCAATCCGAATTACGACTACACGCACTTCAATCTGTTTCGGATAATGCTAGAAGTCTTTAAAAGAAATAGAATTGATGGTATGTTATCCATTATCGATGTATTGGTTTAGTTTCAAATATCCAGCATTAACGAAATCAACCTAGGTTTTATGTTGTTTAAGTTTGGCTAAATAAGTTTTTATAACTATCGTACAATTTGAGCATGTGCAAATTGGACTTTTAATTTTTTTTAATTTCTCCATTTGCACACATTCTTAGGACACTCACCATTAGGGTGTCCAACATACTTAACATCAGCCCGTATCTTACAAGAAGCTGTTTTCTCCACTCCTCGACAGCATATGATGCCTAATTTTACAGAGAAGAAATGGTATGTTTTGATTTCCTTTACCCCATAAAACACGTATTTTTTATTTAGGATAACATATGTTCATAAAATGTGGGATGCTGTAATACATTCCCCTTTGTTCCTCGATTATCATTCCGTTCGGATGAATCAGATTTAAATGTTGCTACTTTTGAAAGACTGTTTAATACTATATTTTATTACAGTAATTTATCTTTACATTAAATATAATTACACTTTTTCTTGCTGTCTTCTTATTTTGAGTATCTTCCTGGTTGGTCTCAAACTTCAGTGGTTCACAACGACTGAATCTTTTAGGTTACTTGTAAAAATGAGTACTTTCTTCATCTGAAGTTTTTTTAAAATAACATTTACTTTTGTCATACGCGATTGAGGTGACCTAATAAGCATAACTTGAAATTGTGTAATTTTGGATTTGAATTCTATCATTTCTAGATTCGATTACTAATGAGTTGATAACTGTGTTGAATCATTTGACCGGAAAAATCAGCTCTGCATAGAAAACCAGAATCCTAAACAATGCAAGAGCAGGAAATACAATGAACAGCTTGGATGCGGCTAGATGATTTGGACATCTCAGATGACCTAGCCCTTCTATCTCATACACACAAGCAAATGCAGACGAAGACATCTACTTTAGCGGCAGCCTTTGTGTCAGTATCCCTCAACATCTACAAGAGAAAAAACAAGATCCTCAAATACAACACACAGAGAACCAACCCAACCACACTTGATAGAAAAGCTCTGGAACAGGCGGAAACTCACGTGCCTGGTCAGCATCATCGATGAACAAGGTGGATCTGATGCAGACGTAAAGGCAAGGGCAGCATTTCTACAATTGAAGACAACACGGAATTCAAAATAACTGTCAGAATCTTTAATGCAGACCTCAACACGTTTCCACTATACGGAGCTGAAACTTGGAAAACTACTACAACCATCATCAAAAAGGTACAGCTATTTATAAGCAACTGTCTACTCAAGATACTCAATTTCAGTCGATCGAATATCATCAGCAACGGCCTACTGTGGGAGAGAACAAACCAGCCGAGGGGAAAATTAGGATAAAATGCTGAAGGTGGACAGAATATACACTATGGAGATCGAAAAATATAAGAATCATCACAATTAAGTTTCGTGAACGTAAAAATTGAATTAATATAAACAGTGAAGCGTAACTGGAGCGGCCTGTCGTCGCAGACCGATTTTATTCTGGTTATGATACTAAGCACCGCACCTATGTTCACAAGAAAATTCATACTTTAATTCCTCTCTCTAACGTAAAACAAGCGACTTTGTGGACCCCTCAACAGTTGTAATAGCCTATGAAGACCTGTTCGTTTTCCACATTCTTAAAAGTTTATTTAGGTCAGGTGCATAGTGGACTGTATTAAGCTGATTCGACGTAAAATTTCCAGTGGTACCAACAAGATAGTTTGGACTGTCTCGATTTACTCCGTTTTTTATTATCTATTTGCTTTTGGGTCACAGTCTTAAAGATACTTTTGGTGCCTCCAGCGAGTTTGGTTACGACCAGGTCGTTTGATGGTTCTTCACTGTGTCGTTGGTGGAAGTTTCTGCTCCAGTCATTGCTTAGGGCTGGCTTAACCATAGTGTTGTCGCCTACTAAACATTAAAGATAACGCAAAAATTGGTGTGGTAACCTGCCACATAATGTTCCTCCTTGAAAAAGGTCATGGATTCTTCGACGGTTCACCACTTCATGCCTTGTGGTCGTACACGTTTTCTACGTAAAACGACTCCGTGTCAAGTCAAGAACTTCTTTAACAACTGATAGGAGGTGCACAAATCTCTGTATCTAATTCCTTCTGATCTAATGTTGTGTCTGGTAAATAGTGCTGTATTTGAGCAGATCACAACTCCAAGTAACTTTAGTGAACTCTAAACACCTCACATTTGAATAGGGAATCCTTCCGTTTGATCATTTTAACGGAGTATATTTCGTCACAGAATCCTAAGCATTTCTGTATTGTACTGGAAATACGTCTACCCCCTCCAGGTCATTAAATCTGGAAGCAGCAACGGAATGATTAGCAAACTAATGTCCTGAAGAAACTTCTTCCCTAACCATTAGAACAAGGGTGTCTGGGAGCAGTGATCAGATACTTAAATCCTACACCATTCAACTAGACAGTGACGCATCTGCAGTAAAATGAAAGCCATTATCAGTCACTAGTACCATATGGACATCCAACTAAAAACTTTAATGCTTGGATTGTTCAGTCACAATTTGGTGAAGACGAGAAAAATCTTCAGGCCACTTGGAAAAAGAATCAATGACTACAAGTGCGTAGTATTTGCCAAAAAATGAACCCCAGTAGGTCGTGTGAATTCTCTACCAGGCCTCAGAGGATACTGCCCATGGAGTCACATTCAAAAGGTGATTTTTTGGCGTATGACATCTTCAATTGTTTGCTATACGACATGTATCTACATTTATTTCCGACCACCAACGTGTGAGCCTCTTCAAGGATTTCATCTTAACACCTGAATGTTCACTGTGAATATTTCCAAGGACAGATTCACGTTACAAAGGACGTATAACAGCCCGATCGTTTAAACAGAAACTATCATCGGGAGTAGTGGAAAATTCATCCCGCTTGGAAAACTAGTCAGGAAATCTACTTATCAGATCAACATCCTTTCCTTTTGCATAGCACTGTGTATACATCCGTAGTCTAGACGAGGTTCTCTAACGAGATCCAGATGACTCACCGGTTGGGGTCTCAGTAATAAACAGTGTGTAATATTAACAGGATACATGATAAACCTAAAGAGAAAACGTGCAGTTGATTACAGAAATTCGGATTTCCATCTAAGCCGCGGCGCCTTTAGTGTTTATACTAACTAAAAATTCCTTCGCACTTAATTGCGCACTTATTACGAACTCCAAATATAATGTGTTCGCTTGTCCTCATGCGGTTCTACAAGCCGTAGATTGAACTATTCAAGTAATTTTTGGTTTGCGCGTCAACCCGAATGCTTCTAATTATCATACACAGTTAAATTCCACTTAGTCTTTAGATTTATTGCGATTACTAATGGTCGGATTAAAATCTGTTGACAACTCTGGTCCACATTTTTCAGTATCAAAACTTAATTTTGTGTTTTCTTGAAGCTTTTCAGGTCAGTAACAATTCTTTTCACGAAAGTAGGAAGTACTCCCAATGGAGTACTTCATGAAAACGACATATCTCTAGATCTTGAAAGACAGCTAACCCTGATTACTGCTGGTACTATAATAAGTATGGAAAATCCTGAAATTGCAGGAAACCCTGAAGTTTATTTATCCCCAAAACATCCAACACGAAAAATGTTTCGGAAATGGTTTCTTCAGAAATGCAATAATACACTATTTTCGCTGATGTTAGCATAATATTCACCATAATAAAAAAGACAGGTTCTGTGCACTTAAGAAGAATATTAAAGAAATTGAGAAAATAAGGGAACAGAAATGAAGGAAACGCGAAATACGTTAATAGTTTAGTGAATGTGTTCATGAACACAAAACAAGTATAGACGATTATGTATTTATCGCCGAATGAATAACAAAAAGGGGAAGTGATTATAAATAAATAGGATTATTATTGAAGCAAGATTTGACGGTAGAATAAGTGTCTGTGCAGTGCTATGAAAGTATCAACTAGTTGCAAAGGATAATCAAATATCAATATGTATAAGTCATATACGCAGTGATGATAAAATGAATCCGAGAAGTTAATTTGTTTAAGCGTAACTTAAGATATTCTGTTCTCAGTCATAAACTTTAGATGTTTAGGAATAAAATATGTCTAGGAGGAAAAAAAAGGATGACAAGACTATTTAATGTGTCAAGAGACTGATCTTATTGATAATAAGAATAATTATAAATATAAACATAAGCAGACTTCAGGTATTAAGATGAGTAAAAGAGATCAAAGTAGGTGAGAAAAGTTTCAAATGTTCTACTTTACTTCAAAATCAACTAGATAGATGACGGAACTTGTCTGTACAAATCATTAAGATACTTTTATATGTCGCAGTAAAATGATTAGTAATAGCCGTTTGTTAATAGCTTAACTTATGTGTAGTACAAGTATTTTGTGCTTAGAAATATAAAAGCAATCAGTATTGTAGAAATGTTGATGTTGGTATTATTTTGGTTTAAATTATAAAGTCGGTTAACATTTATGTATGTAAGCTGTCTATATGAGTTGATTCCCAAAGGCATCCGGATTAGTAGGCTTGAATAATTTTTTTTCTGGTTAGCGTTTTTTTAGCGAGTTAGTTTTCTACGGGATGGGGACGCTAACCCCATGCCCAACCCTCCTCCTTTATCCGGGCTTGGGACCGGTAGTAGCCCCCGGAGGGACTCCAGGCGGAGTTATTAGTAGGCTTACTGAAAGCAAAAACATAACCATGGGACGAAATTCCAACTAGTGTTATAGTGAGTTTTTTAAGTTTCATACGGTTTATTTAATTACGTGGATATTTTCTCAACTCCATTAATACGTAACCGCGATAGAATTTAGCGATACTACTAACACATATGAATGGTTATCCGAAATTCTTTTACGTCAAAATTTTGGACAAATAGCTAAGAGCAGTTCGTTAAACATGAGTGTATTCGTGAGAAATATGCTCTATATTCAGTGTCCCGATTTGCGATTTACTGACTGTTTATATTCATACCTACTAGCTGATGGTGATTACATTGATATACAATAGGTGAAGCAATCGACTCTCGGAAAGAAAATTATCAAGGAGACTTCTAAACGGTGTTATCGCTTTACTGCGACGGAGGTTCCGTGAGAGTGTTTCCCATGGTTGAGCAGCGAATAACGAAAAGATTCTGACGTACATCTGTGTACGTTCTAGGGCAATCTTCCTTATTGCGTAGGTTCTGAAATGATACCATAGAATGCTAACGGGTAGATACCGAAAACTAAAAAATACCGTTTATAAGCCGGCAGATTAAGATAGGATTTAATTTGATACGCCTGATCCAGAGAAGTTCTAACTTGTCTTGTTGACACTTTTGGTGGTATTCTTTGTGGTTGGAATACCCCAAAATAGCTTAAGTGAATCTCTTTTGAACACCTAGCTAGTCCAAGCGACTTCTCAGGAGTCCTTCAAGATGCAACTTGACCTATTCTTAAGAACCAAGGACAGCATCACACTATGATTTACCAATTTCTTTTCCTCTTTTATTGTTAACATA